ACGGCATGTGTGCAGCGGTAATTTCACTTAATTTGTGCTCATCTTGTCTCCTCAAATTCACGGAATATCGTTTGAAGGCTGTCTACCAGGCAGATAACAAAATAGGTAGATGGAAGTTTCCAAGCCACTGTTTGGGATCTTTTTGAAGGCGTAGTCCCATTTAGTGTATCAACCATGTAGTTGATCGTTTTATCCACCAACATATGTGCGTTGATTACATCCCATTAGAATGACATCACTTCTTCCTCCAGTTTGTATCAACTTTATCACCTTACAACCTTAAAAAATAAACGCTCAATAATAAATAAAGTAGTGCATCACTGCCCAAGTAATCCCATTTAGTATATCAACCATGTAGTTGATCGTTTTATCCACCAACATATGTGCGTTGATTACATCCCATTAGAATGACATCACTTCTTCCTCCAGTTTGTATCAACTTTATCACCTTACAACCTTAAAAAATAAACGCTCAATAATAAATAAAGTAGTGCATCACTGCCCAAGAGCGTACAACCACTTCCCTTGGTTCTTCACTGTAGGCTGATCTTACAATCGATGTCTTGCTTGGCTTGTAAAAATACCAATTCACAAAGCTTTTGAAGCAGTATGCGAGTAGAGCGAGCTTCCGGTTAAACAAGCGCCACGAAAGATTATATTTGACAAAGCTAGTTGACAAACCTAACAATCAAGTGTCCCACAAGAAATGTGGGAAAATTTTGTGGGTTGATGGCAACATTTCCAAGCAATGCCAACTGGGGTGAAATATTGACCGTAAACATATAACAGGGGCCTGGTTAGACACTACAATACTAAGGGTGAGGCGGTAAAAAGCATATAATGTTTAATTAAAGACTTGGAACGGTCTGTAAACATACGTTGTCAGCCATTTTTAGAAGACACTTCTGTCACGAACAGATCTTCAGAATTTGCATTTTTGGGTATTTCATTGAATTTCGCTCGCACGATAACCAACAGCTGCTAGTTAGTGAGATGAGTGCAGTTCTACAATCACTCAGGTTTTGAATGATCTGAATTAGAAATGACGCGCCTAGTCTAAATAGTTTACAATCGGAAGAAAACAACATGGTCTTCGCTAGACGCCGTGAAGTAAATCAGGATTGGGGGTTTCTTGGCTCCTGGTATTTCCAATAGTTGTATGATATTCATCTAGCAAGACGGGGTACTTTGGACAAGCGAACTGCGATAAGTTTTATTAAATGTGGCTTTTTCTTCACAGTACAAATTGTGGCGCAATCTAGGTAGCTTGATATCGCTTCATGATTTTTGTATAGAATATCGCCATTAGACTTGGTAAATATGGTGTTTCCACAGTACAGCGCAACAAGGACACTTCCACTTCTGGGGACGGAATAATTATAAACTGATTATCGGGAGTAGCGTACGGACCAATGGTCGCATAAACAGGAGATAACTGACACACTCAAGTTACTAATATTTCGACACTGCCAAGTCTGATACAAATGGATGCATTTAAAAACTTTTTCAAGGACGTTGTTTGTGACTTTGAACATATGCAATCGGAAAAAGTTTCAAAGTTTCACTTCTCTGACATCTGTCGAGAGAGGCGCTGGAGAATATACGGTTTAGAGCAGTCAAAGCTCCCGATAGGAAGATCACGTTGTTTATTAAAGCTTTTTGTGATGAAATTTAGCAGTTTATTTGAAGGAATGTATGCTCATTACAATTAATTTCCCGCCGATGGGCAAGCACATGTTACTGAATTTTGCAACACAGCTAAATCTACGTCTCCCAGGAAAGATAACTATACCAAACAAAGAACTACAAAAGTGGGCAAGTTCGGCCATCTGAAGGCTCCGCTGGGAACTGTTACCACTGGTAGTTAAAACGCACTTGTCTCACAAATGTAAAGATGTCTTTCATCAGCTTTTTCGATTGCAGTTCCTTGGAAATCGCGCCCCAACATGGGCATTTTGCCCTCATGGCTTTAGTCTCAAAGTCACGAGCAACACAGATTTATTTACACGTGATGTACCAGTAGAGCACAACAGACATGTGGTCCGCAAGCTGTCACACTTTATCGCCTTTTAAGATTTCTCCACTACGATACTGAGTTCATCATTTTCCGACATATGTATTTAAGCTCACTGAAAAGGAAATTGCCCTAAAGTGACTTGCTAGCCGACAAAAGTGCGAACCACCCATGAAAACCGAGGGGATTGGTCTGATTAAATATGCATCGTTTAACGGAACTTGATATTAATAGGCTGTCGCTCGCTGCTCAGGAAATTTTGCGCGTTGCATGATAAGCGGACTGAGTTCCACATAACATCAGGCCGCAGAGATTTTTTACAAAACAATTCACAATCTATTCCTTTCAGTAGGCAGGGATGATCTTGCAACGCTAACAAAAGTTACTGCCGTTTATTTGCGAAAATACTGCAAAAGCATACTGGAGCCGAGAAAAGCATGCAGCCTTTGTTGCCTCCAGCATTGCAGGAAGTACACTTGTAAATCTCGAACGCGATACATAAGTGCTGAACATACATTTAAGCAATCGTTAGTCACTCGTGGAATGCAAAGTTGACAAACGAAAGCAAAGTCTCATTGTCTTCACGAGTAACAGTTGGGCAGATATCCCATCACAGAATACAGATCGCAGATAACAAAACCGATTGTGTTAAACGCTAATACACAACGAGTGCTCACGTAGCATAGTGCTGCGTAAAACGAGTTCAGTTTTGTTAGCCTCCATAAAAGTGCCCACACACGGAAAACCTGTATAATTATAGGAATGTTAGGTTTTTATCGAACCAAGTGAATACTGCCCGTCAGTGGCGTATGACAATCCACTCATGACACGAAGTAAGACATATCGAAGAAAGTGAGTGGGTCCGTATCCAGTCTACACAAAAGATAGTTACCTGAGATAACCGAATGAATTTCAAAACCTCATCTTGGTCCCATACTGTTTAACGAACTAGTTATCTCGAAAAGACAACCATACACGAAGGCCAATACAGTTAACAGTATACCGAATCGCATATATCTTAGTCGGCTTGGTCACAGCGCGTAGGAATATCGCAAGGGATGCTCGCTTTTTCTGACCTGATCATTCCAGAATGAAGGAACGTAACCGCAAGTAAGATTTTTTCCCCAACCACCACTCAGTGGCACCGGACCAATCCTTCCACAAGGCATTTCCCAGATGAAACGCGAGAACATAGTCTAGCGCCACGGAGTGTTGGCTTAAGATAACAATGATTAAGTGCGATCGTATCACATCCGGTCAAGACAGACCACATAATAAAGAGAATATCCCTTCCAATCATTTACCGGGCAATTCTGGACCGATTAGAATTAGCACGATTTAGCTTACTTTCGAATGTGCGCATCATCGGAATCCGAGTTCATGACGCACCACTCAGAATTCACACTTCGGTATGATAAGAAGCGGCAAAGAACCGTGCCAAAAAGTGGTGCCAGAGCACAAATGGACATACGTGAATGACCAGTGCCATGACACTGTAGGCAGCCAAACGCGTGCGTCGTCTCTGGTGAGGCGAATCAAGCGGGTCAATCGCGTGATCCCGGTGAACTTAACGATACAAACAGGGACGAAATTCGAAGTGTAGATCAAGCGCCGATAGCGCAGTAGCTAGCTGTTTACTCCCACAACAACTGGGCTGCCCCAAGTCACACACGTTCCACTATGAATTGATCAGTTTGATCGGCTGATTTGTGAAGACCACCAGGTTTCTCATATTGAGTTGTTTTGCGGTCCACACTGTTCGGTGCCACCATTTGAATGTAGTTTGTCTGTCTAAATGATCGCACGTTACTAGGAATGATGTGAGGCTGTTTGCATCCAAGGAACCTCCCCCCCATAGCCTTCGTGTATCGAGGCCAATTGTGTATTCACGACCAATTTTGCTGAGAATCGTGTTAACATCATCCTGCTACAATGGGACCCGGAGAAGTTTTCACACGTGTGAGGGTTGGAACGGGGACTGACGCTATTGTCCTTTCTCGTCTCCACTCTCGACTTCCCACTACAGACATATTCTGTTAGTGTGTGGAATATGAGGAGAGTGTATAGAGTGTATGAGAAAACCCAGCCATTCCGGTCGACATTAGTGTCCACATGTTTGCTTGTCTTAGTTCATGCACGCATGCGATAGACATTGTGTCCAATCAAGTCATAATTTATAAGGATCACCGTTACGTGACCAACGCATCACGTGTCTTGCCCAAAAAACAATGTAATACAGGCAACTACTGGATACAAATCCGGATGTGACTGGTGTTGCTCAGTGATTCCGCTGCGTAATACGAATCGACATTACCTGCGTTTCAGTTGATTATTATTCAACAAAACCCCAGCTGCCGTGATTCATGGGATCCTAGGTTAGCATAACCAACAGCGCCTTCCCAATTCACCACCTCATGTGTCCCTCAACGATAACCATGCTGACCGGATGTTATTTCTACTTCAAAAGTCGGTCTTCGAACTTTTACCTGCTAGCACAAAAGGCACATCAGATCGGTGATCCGTATGGTGATTTCGGGAATCCCATTCGGTATTCTCCTCTGTTTTCCAACAACGTCCTTATAAGAAGCGCTCACAAAAGAAAATCACAGAGCATTTAAGCCGTGTGCTCCGCTCGTTTTTTTCCCAAATTACGTCCTGGCTGATTTCTCTTACTGTATTGAACATCGATTAAAATTCGCTGATAATTTGGTTAACGAGAGATCATATCTAGCAGCAAATTTGTCAGAATGCACCTGCTGAAGCCGAAGAGTTCAGAGTTATCAAGGAGAATAGCTGTGGCCCAAATTCCAAAGGTGACACTCACCTTGTTCGTCGAGTTGGGGAATGTGGCTGCAAATATATCAATAACGGCCGAAATACCGTCCTCACACGGTTGTAGAATGGTGGCGCACCGTCATGAGCCGACGACGCTTTCTCAGTGCGGCTACGCTACTGACACCAATAGGAAATCGGAAACTAGCATCCGTCAGATAGTTTCCAACAGATCCAGTAACACTGCGGAATAGATGGTGAGAAGAGCAGAGACAGTAGCATTACGTGGGGGTCCAGATTCAACGGTTACTAAAGCTGCAAGACGAGCGTCTTGCGATGCGTAGGGTGACGGTGAGATTCTAATAAGATGATCATTCCAGTAATTGGAGTTGGGTTCTTCCGGTTCATCGGCGAAAAAAAAGAAAACAAGGCACATTATTTTGGCTGACGCAAATTCCTGCGAAAGTGGACAATGTGACAACCGAGCTTGTGTTATTTTCGGCGACTCATTTGACAAAATACGATTGTCGTTGGGACCGCACAGCTACACGGACAATCGATGAGCCCATAGTAGCAGATGCAGAATAGCTTGATTATTGCAGCTTGATTATTGCGCATGCACTTGGTCACAATTCCCGCCTCGAGTATGGCAATGATGAAACGTTCACAGATTTTGGAATATTTCGTCGGCAAATCCGATCAAGCGATATGAACAAATCAGATAGAAGATTTTGCAAGGGCCAGTGTGAATTCCCCTCAGTAATTAGCCTACGCCGACAACAATGGCTTCACGAAATCTGGCAACCGGATTTCCGATGGATGGCTGCGAAATATCAGCAGCTAATAACGATGCTGGACGTCAGTAGTTGCACTCTGGGATTAGTCTGTATTGGTCGATGTTTCCTCGTCCTGAGGACCGCTGCATTTTCTGTCACCGTCCAGCAGAATCCGAACGTAGACTGTGCACCGCAATGGAAACAGTTTGCCGAATTCACCCCAAGCACTCGTGAGTCAAATGAAAAAATGTCCGTGCAGTTAGATTATTCGTAGGCACGAACGAAGCGGTTGTGAGTTACGGGAAACTCGCATTTGCAGAGATAAAAATACTGGAGTTCCTCCAGCGTCCAGTTAAAGTATCCTGGATGTACTCTGAATACCAATTGAAGCGGAAAAGCTAATACTACGTTTTCAAATGCAATTAGATCGGCTTGAAATCCGGGCCAGTTATTGATCACATTTCTTCAGTAGTGTTCAACAAAGCATTTCGTTACTTGATTCATCCAGTCTCACTGAAATCCTTCGTTCTCCGGAGTAGCTGAATAGCAATTCTGCGAACAGTAAAATGATTTGCTCGTGCTAATGATTTCCTTTAGATGAATGAAAATTCCGAACATTTTTACACACAGCGGTCAGACATTGTTTCATCAGTAGTTCGCACGCATGCCGCCAAAGTGCGATTCCTCTTAACTAGGTCAGCTCAATCAGCCGATTCGTTCGGTATTTCTTCCATTGTATCGGGCCACATCCACAGCAGAAAACGCTGTGAAACTCTTGATTCCTGACCGTCCCCAACTACATAAAATTTGAGGTGTCGACCCAATGGAAGACTGTCTCTAGCCTCAATCTCCTTCTCTGTTTGGAAGCGGAAATATTAGGCGCCCATCAACATGAATATAGAATGACTTGTGGCTGACTGGATCGACGCACGGTCTCCCAAGTACACTGCCATGTTCACCGCCTAATCACTTCGTTTGACCATCAGATATTTGCTACATCCTTCGAATCGTTTGTTTTCGCTTGTTACCTACCCACTCGATTCTCAGCCGCCGTGAGCAGCCCTGAATGTATCACGCTCAAAGCACCGCCTTACAACTTTCGGTGCTCGTTGTTGACCGCGATGTAGTGCATGACCATCCCCTTAATCATCGTCGCCCGCTAATTTCCATGAACCCACCGCCACACGTGTCCGCTTTCATAAACTATTGATTGCCTATCCCTGTTTCTGGAATGGAGCCGACATCGCCACCAAACCCAAACGCTGCTAACTCCCATACAGGAATAAATTCCAAGTGGTGGTTTGCCCCAAGTGAATATGCTTTGATTAGTTTGCATTGCTCACAGGCAAGCAATACAACTGAATTCGGGCACACAACCCTCAAGCATTTCGTGACGCTGTCTTGCGTTCCTCATCCACCCGATTAGCTTTTAGTCGGCCTTAAAATGACGCGTTTGTCCCAGAACACATGGCGTTCATCCGACGATCGCCATCACGATCGGAAATAAGCTTTCTCAGTGGTGAGGCACTTGTCCCCAGAGATTGTCAGAACACGGCTGACATATTCGATAACCAAATCCTCATATTGCTGGACTGCATGGAGTCACGGATGGAAATTTTACGGACGTGTCTGGAGACGCCCCTGTTACCTAGTTCATTTCTGGAGAATATTCTTCACAGAAGGAAATCTGTGCACAATTCCCAAATGTCTCTACAGATGTGGTCCATCATTGTGTGAATTTACCTCACTAAAAGACTATGAGAGCAACAACGCTATTCAAACAGCTGGTAAATGACTGTTTTACGAAGTTAGAGAACGATGGTATTATGAGTCTAGAATGATTCTCGAATGACCGGCATACCTTAGCCGTGAGGACTGTATAACTTGTGTTCAATTCGTGTGGAATACGAATGAAAAATACATATCGTAATTAGCAAAATTTTATTGAATTTTCAGGAGCTATTGTGGGCGTGAATTAAATTTCAATCTCGGATTCCATAATATCACTAAACTGTGAATGCACCCAAACAACACTTGTTGAGTGAAAGGTGAATGGAGACTTGGCACCGTAATCAAATTTAACCTATCGGATTGTCGATTTCAACGTGAAATTTTCCTCCAAGTAAATATGGAGTACATTCTACGATAGCCCATGCAATCAGGAAACATAAATCTGTGATCACAGATTGTCAGGACAGGACTGGCATGAAACCTACTCAAG